GCATAAAAAAAAAAAGAGACAAAAAAAAGAAAGAAAATAAAAAAAAAAAAAAAAAAAAAAAAAAAAAAAAAAAAAAAAATACGACCCGAGAGTAGTTCAGAAACGTTGTCGTTGTCGTCCGTTGAATTCTATTTCCGCGCGGTACCGACTATTTCCGTGTGCTGTCGAGACTAGAACAATTTCCGCCAGCACGCGTCGGAAAGGTCACGTTGATCGCGAGAGAAGCTCGTACATACGAAGCACGTGCCTGAATGTCGCAACACCGACCAAGATGACCGTCGTTATGCGAGACGAAATTGAACGAGGCCTCGAGATCTTTTCCGGCGCGTTAAATGGACCAGGCGCGGTTTCGTTAGGAATAATCGTAATCCGATAACGCAGGAATATTAGTACGCAATATGCAGCACCTTGTTGTACGTAACGGCAAAGTGCAGGAGAATAGATACAAAGGAATAACGTTTGCACGGTTTTAAAACCGTCGCAAGAGTTTGCATCGTTTATAGAAGCAACGAGCAACCAGCAAACGATAAATATAAACAGAATTTTGTATGACGCAAGAAGAAGAATCGGAAGGATTGATAACAAGGTCTCGCATAAACACAGGAATTTTACCAAAAATCGATGCGGAGGGCGAGAGTCGATAAGAGGAGCGTCACGATAAGACCGATCGCGTGGTAAAGCGCGAGCGAGCGGCGCAACGTCGTATCAGTGCGGCGTTCGGGTAACGTTTGCTTAACGAGGCCGGGGGGTAAGGTCGTTCCTTGATCCGTCAACGATGACAGCGCGGAGGAGCGTTCCTGCAACCTCCAACGTGCCTCTATACGCTACCGAGTATGCCCTATTGCGTAGTCGGCTGACTAACGTGTCACGTGCCGCAGCAACGCGATCGTTACGCGTATCGACGCGTCGTCACGCGTTGTTAAAATTCGATGAATTTCTAATAGATCTCGATCGGTAGGTCGCCGAACCGATATTTTTTTTTCGTCGTCCATCGTTTCTTCGATCTCTTCTTCCATCGTTTTCCTTCAACTTTTTCACACTCTTCGCGACAAGTTGCGCGCAACTTGTTTATCAAGCCATTAATACAAATTTTTCTTGGATTTATCGATGGAAGATGATTCGACTTTTTTGATACGGAAAGCAATTAACATCGGCGTTTGCGATGTGGTTCGAATAAATAGATAGTCGATCGTAATCTGTTTGTTTGATGTTTAGGCTGCCATCGACGAAGCATTCAAGAGCGAAGCGAAGATCAGCGATTTATTCAACGTGAAGGCGAACCTTAAAGCTTTGATATATACGTGCTTGCTCGTGACGTTCCAACAGTGCAGTGGCATCAACGTGGTCCTCTTCTATATGGGATCCATCTTCCAGGCTGCGCACAGTGCGTTACCTGACTCCATATCGACTCTGATCGTCGGTAGTGTGCAGGTGGTTGCTTCCGGGGTCACGCCGGTGATCGTTGACAGACTTGGTAGGAGAATGCTGCTCATTACGTCCGGCGTTGGCGAGATTGCCTCCTTGGTAAGTGAAATATTTCCAAAGTCCGTGTTTATCGTATAAATTTATCGCGTTACGTTCTAGTCGCATAGCTACGTTACTCCATAGAAGTAGCAATTGTATCGTACAAAGAACGTACTGTCGCTCCCTTGCTATCGCGTTATCGTATTGCTTTCGCCGCAATTAAGATGGCCGTGTATTTCTTTACGATGCTACCGCGTGAGTCGTGTTTATCGAAAAACAAGGCGATGGAGATGTTAGTCCTCGCGACTTGGAAATATAAAATTGCAACGCTTCTATCGATTGTCCTCGATCGAACGCGTGCACGTGGAATCGAACGACAGCTACGAGCGAGAGGTACGATTCTCCGGACGCTAACCGGGTCTCGTACCCTCCGGTGTCGTAACGATATTTCGTAAAGGCTACTTTAACGCTTGGAAGCATCGGTTAATGGCGAACAAATTATTCCGCGATCGTTCAAAACGTACGAAACGCGATCGATTGTCATTCCAGGCAGCATAACGCGGACACCGAGTTACGCTTTCGCTCCGTGGCCACCTCGATTATAAAACAACTCGTCGGTGACGATGCGTTTCGACGGTCACATAACCACGTTTTTCGAACAGTTACCTAATCGAGTTACGTGACGTGCAATTTTCGCGGTATTTCGTAAGTACCTGCGCCATGTTTCCCACTATTCCACCTGGAATATCAGCGATGCCGCGGAGATTCGCGGTTAGAATTTGTCTGGCGTTTGATCGACTTCTCCGGTACAGTGATAACGATTGATAGCGATTTCATTCCGAAACGTTCTAAGATCGTGATTTGCTTGGAAAAATTCCAATGTCACGCGGACCATCTACGTCTCTGGCAAGTCGAAACTATTGTTCTTCGTGTCGGAGAGACGGCATATATAATCGGTCTTATCTCTCATCTCAATGACAAGTCCCATTGTTTCAACGATAGATTGACAGTTCTTTTAAAATTACATTATCGGTCAATTAGTATCATCGACAAGTTGCACAAACAACCAGAACGTACATTCCATCGTTTTGAATCACGATTGCAATTCGAAAAATTCGGAATCTTCGAAACAAAGGGGACACAGAGAGAGAGAGAGAGAGAGAGAGAGAGAGAGAGAGAGAGAGAGAGAGAGAGAGAGAGAGAGAGAGAGAGAGAGAGAGAGAGAGAGAGAGAGAGAGAGAGAGAGAGAGAGAGAGAGAGAGAGAGAGAGAGAGAGAGAGAGAGAGAGAGAGAGAGAGAGAGAGAGAGAGAGAGAGAGAGAGAGAGAGAGAGAGAGAGAGAGAGAGAGAGAGAGAGAGAGAGAGAGAGAGAGAGAGAGAGAGAGAGAGAGAGAGAGAGAGAGAGAGAGAGAGAGAGAGAGAGAGAGAGAGAGAGAGAGAGAGAGAGAGAGAGAGAGAGAGAGAGAGAGAGAGAGAGAGAGAGAGAGAGAGAGAGAGAGAGAGAGAGAGAGAGAGAGAGAGAGAGAGAGAGAGAGAGAGAGAGAGAGAGAGAGAGAGAGAGAGAGAGAGAGAGAGAGAGAGAGAGAGAGAGAGAGAGAGAGAGAGAGAGAGAGAGAGAGATTACCAGATCCTCGTGGAGAATTTGCAACGATTTGTCGTTGTATCGCGTTTCCGTGGCCTTGATCCACTGTCCATTGCGTACTTTTCGCAGGTATTGCAAAATAGCGGCAACAAATCGATCGCGGCCTTGCGACGCCTATTCAAATCGATTTATGTAATCTCGCGATCGCGTGTAGATGTACTTCTGATGCGCGTCGCATTCCATCGCAACGGTGCAACACGAACGCACGACCTTCGTTCGCTCTTTTCTTCACCGGTCGCCCCAGTGATCCACCTTCGTCGCTCGATTCTCGATCCAATTTTTACACGAAACAAAGGCGATAACTTCTTTCGCTTATCTTCGATTATCGAAAGTATATTTCACGCGCTCCAATAAAATCGCTCTCGACGACGAATGGATTTTTGGAATCCACGATTGAATTTTCTCTAACGCGGTACAAGTAGTTTATCACGCGCGTTTATCAAGGTTTTTCTTACGCTTCTACGCGTTCTCGACATCCTACTGATTGAACCACGGCCAATGAATCCTTGATTGCTCTTTTTTTTTTTAACGGAACGAACGTTCTTTTTCAACGTCGAACAGCTCGCTGAACCTCGAACTATACGGATATAGGTATTAATAATTTGAATCGATTAATTAATAAAATTACGCTTGCTGCTCGTTTACCGTAATGTTCGCAACGCGTGCCTGGAAGAAAATTTCCGCAAACAGAAAGAAGCGACGCGTCGACACGGAAATCGTCGGTTGTTCCGATGACTTCACGCATCTGGAATCGTGAGGTCGAGCAGTTAATTATCCATAGCCGTAGATTGTTGCACCGATCCGCGGCCGCGATCAATGTCAATGCCTCGTTACGTGCACGCGTACGCAGGATCGATCGTTGCTTCGCCAGCCACAACGCTGTTTTCTGAATTTCGTAATAACGGTGAACGGATGACGAAGGTAAGAAAAAACGACGAGACAGAGAAGTCGATCGAGGTAGCGAGCGTCGGTGAGACACGAGACGAGTCCGGAAATGTCTGGAATGCGGTTAATTACCGACAGCGCCGATCTTCTGATAATCATCTGATAATCGGCCGATCGCGAATTCTTTTTCCCGTCTTGCGAGCATCGTCGGACGCGTACCGTCCGAACGATCCGAGTTGAAGTTTATTCGAAGCGAGTGGAGCATCGCCGCGCTGATTATCTTTCTTACCAAATATCCCGCCACCTGAGTTTCCTATTTACAGCTGCTATGTGTGTTTGATTTCTAGATCGCCCTGGGTCTGTACATGTTCCTCCAAGATGTTACAAAGTCGGACGTCAGCGCCATATCGTGGCTTCCTATCGTGTCGCTGGTCATCTTCATCTCGGTATATTGCATAGGTTGGGGTCCCCTCCCGTGGACCGTGATGGGTGAGATGTTCGCATCGAACGTGAAATCGAAGGCTTCCGGAATCACCGTGTGCGTGTGCTGGTTGGTCTCTTTCTTCATCACCAAGTTCGCTAACAATCTACAGGATGTATTCGGCCAATTCGCCTTGTTCTGGATCTTCGCCGTATTCTGCGTGGCCAGCGTGTTGTTCACGGTGCTGATATTACCGGAGACGAAGGGAAAGAGCCTGCAAGAGATTCAAGACGTGTTGAGCGGCGTCGAACATTCGGAGATACCCGAGTTCGGAAGCTCGAGTAAAAAGTGAAAACAGTATTGCGGTTTCGGGTGGTGACTCGAGAACGATCTCGAGATTCGATTTCACCCTCGTTCGCGTATCGGACCAATCGTATCCGTCGAACGGTTCTTGCTCTTCCTATTTCTGTATACTACGTATATACGTTAAGCGCGCCTTTATACTGCCAAAGACCATGGATCGCGATTCTGGATCCTCGCGACACGCGACGATCCGATACTGTTTTCTTCTTTTGTCGTTAGAATCTAACCTATCGTTAGAATAGGAAACGGGCCGGAACGACGACGCTCGTGACTTTTAGGTCTTAGGTGTACGCGCATGTGATAAGACGTCGGCGCGCATTCGATCCGATATTATCGTTATCGATCGTAAAGAACGACGAGGGAAACGCGACAGAGATTCGAACGAGTGTCCTATTTCATTCTATAATCTGTTCAAACGATACGTAAACAAGGTAGAGACTTCGAGCGATAGAACGAATAACGTCTACGTTTTCCATGTTCCGAGGAACGAACAGCTCAGCTAATGAACGGTACTCGCCTACTGCGCGTTTCTCGCCTCGTACGCGCGATAGTAGTTAACGAATGTATTTATTTTTTGACAAGCCCTAGCCGTTTAACGTACGCGTCGTTTCCTTTGTACGTAAGATTTTATCCGATCCTTCCAAGTATCATAATATTTAATAACTCAACGCCGCGTTAGATACGTATAGATGCGAGGACGAGATCCGCTACACCGACCATGAAACGATCGCACCGACGCGTATTCCGTTTTCGATCGCGTAAGTTCCGTGGAATCGCGAGAAAGATGGCGCAGAGATGAGAAAAAGAGTCTTCGACGATCGTTCTTCGATGCAGTCGCGAAATCGTACGATTGTAAAGCGGAACGGACGAGCGATTTGCACGCGGGAATTCCGCGAAAACGATCGATCTTTATCTGAGACGTGTGGTGTGCTCGTGCGCGTCAGGCGGAATAAAACTGAAAGAAAAAATAAAAGAAGAAAAGAAAAGAAAATGACGTAGTCGGTATTTGGTCGCTCACCGCTGAGCCGTGGAGTTTCCACGAGCGGGACGCGTTAATTGCGTTTAGGGACGATGCAGGAAGATTAATTAGAGAAGCGAATCTTATCGTAACGAACGATCAGACAGGGAGAGAGCACATTCCTATTTCGTACGCGATTGTTGCAACGTTCGTGGAGACTCGGGTTCCTTCTTGCTTCTCGTCGTCCTTATCCTTCCAATTAAGAGTAGACTTTTAAACGCAACAACGAAACTCGAGAGAAGATCGTTCTACGGAAAATTATTTCTTGAAACTATCGCGTTATACTTTGGACGACTCTCGTCCCGTTCTTAGGAAGGCCGATGCATAATTTCTGTGACCAAGAAACCAAGCGACAACGTAGCACGTTGCCCAAGCGGGCAAAACCGAGCGAGATCGATGACACGTTTTAACGTTAGCGCGCACATTTCCTATTTCTTTGTTTTTTTCGTGCGGTGGCGTTCGGAGATCATTCTTCCTTTAGCGTTTCGTTTCTTTCTTCGACGAATTTCTCTCCCTGGTTATAAACGGCATCTCGCGAGCATTCGTTGCGCGATGTTAGGTCTAAACGTTGGTTTCTTAAGCATAATTTTGTCTATAGTGAGTCGTAACGTAACTATTTTTTATTCGAGTATCGATAGAGTTCGTTTTCTGTTATTCGCGCGATCTAGCAACGGACGTACTTACTTATATCTCACTTCAATTAACACCGGTTCCGTTGAATCGTTCGTTTCGGATTATAGTATGAAAAAGATCGCAAGAATTTTCCTCGATGAGATATCCTTCACGCATCGGCGATACGCGTGTGCGCAACGCTCTTTTTTCTTTTTTTTTCTTAACGATTAGGAACGACAATTGTATTTGCATTTACGCGATAGCCTTAAAGATTTGCCAAATATATACCGTTCTAACAAGGTCGCGACATTTAAGGTATACGGTCGGAGAAACGAGACATATCGACGAGTAGCAGTTAATCGAGCTTGACATATCTTTCAGGTAGAAAACGATTCATCGAGCCTAGCACGATGTACCTATCTCGAACGATACGCGCGGAAGATCAGAAAATAAAAAAGAGAGGAAAAATTATCGGCTTGGTAACGTGATGTGTAACGAAACGCGGTTATTCGTTGATGCGTGCGCGTTAGCGAAACGAAGGAAAAGAAAGACACTGGAAATAACGAAGGGAGAATGAACGACCGACCGCGTGTACAACGATCGACGATCGATCAAGTCGGTCGTTGCGTACATATTCATCGCGATGAAAAGTCGAGCGCCTCGATCGGATTTCATCGAGGTCAGAATCGTCCGAGTATAGGACGAAACATATCGTCCATGGTAAACTTCTCGAGGATGCGAAATCGTCGTCATTGATAGGAACTAATTTTCCTTTGCGCGAATCTGTACGCAACAATGACTTCCGATGCGTTTGTTCTTCGTTCCGATCGTGAAAACGGAGCTAGACGTTGCAGAATCATTCCTGAAATGTTCCTCTATTTCAAAGAGCAATAAGACTTTTCCTAAGATATGCTTAAGATGACCCGATTGCACGCGCGTGTAAAACGTAATTTAAAAACTCGATTAAGAAACAAAAGAATATGGCAGGAAAAAGAGAACCGCGGCCAAGTGACGTTCGAATTATCCGGTGTATGGAATTTCCACTTGGATCGAGAAGAGAAGCGCTCGCAGAACCTGTTATTATCTTTGTTTTTTAATTTAAGTAACGTCATGTTTAGAGGAAATTGTACTGTTCACGGAGGAAAAAAAAAAAGATTGAAGTACGCGCATTGTTCGCGAGGCCTTCGAAGCGATTAGACAGATCCAGCGATAACGATTTTCCACGCGATTGTCAGCAAAGTAGATTTTTAAAATAGAGTATGATGATCACGTGGAATATCGCGTACGAAGCAATGAGAGAATGTGATAACGTTCAAATAAATAATCAGGGTACAAAGGAAATCAAGTTTAGGAACTTCTTATCGACGATACTGTATATATATGATACTGTATCCTATGCAACTGTATATATGTACATATATATATATACGTATGTACGTATTGTTACGCATTAAACGTATAGTGTAATTACGATACTTTTGTTACAACTAAATAAATTATAACTTTAAAGTATTACTCGTTAAGTAACAGGTGAAATCTTTTTCTTCCTCCTTTTCTTTCTTGTACCTCGATCTTGCGTTTCATCCTTTCCACTGTTTTAGTAGTACGAGTCTGTTTGCGTCAGACGCAAAGATTGAAATTCGAGAGGTTCGCCGGGCCTTGATTACTCTGTGTAACTGACAAGCGAAAAAAAAGAGAATCGAATCTGTTACACGAAGAGTCGAGAAAGCGTCATCAAATATTTTCACGAATCCCGTCGATGTAAAAAATAATTTTCCGTTAAGAACGGTTCACTGAGATTTCGCAAACTGCAACGATGGCTAAACTCGGTCCGCAAAAGGAGTCGGAAATGGTAACCATATTAATAAAAAAAAAAAGAAAAATACCAAGCTTTTCATTCGTCTCTAATCAAGGAAACATTTGTTAGAACGAGGAAGACGCACGCTTGCAAGAAGAGCTGTACCAGTTGGTCGACGTGTTGATGGTAACAATAACGCTATATGCAATTCGCTTTCTTAACCTAATAACTGTCATAGATACGCGTGTAATTACATTTCATAAAGCGTTAGCTGCTAAAACAATTTCAAATCCAATCGTTACCTAACTCAAATCTTCGGTGTCACATCGATCGCATTTTTTAATTAAAATTCGAGGGGAAAGACGAAGATGCGATGTTAATATCCCTGAGTCAACTTCGATTGTTGATGCAAACTTCGACAACATCGATGACTTCCGTACCGAAACCTCTCAAGTATTTGAAGAACTCGTACAACGATATGAAGAACGCGCATAAAAGGATTCGAAGGAGGGATGTGAAACGGCAATTCGCGGAAGTATTGAGCGTATTATCGATGGCTGGAGCCACGCCTGGTTCCAAAGAATGTTTGCGATATTGCACCGACGGTGAAGTGACGAATCCTGGTGAGTGGGGTCACGAGTACGTCAGACAGCTCGAAGCTGAAATTGTAGACGAGTGGACGAACGCTCCTGTAAAGGACGAGGACCGTATCAGGTATTTTTAGATACGAAGAAATGTGATCATATCTGTGGCGACGATATATAAAATGAATGGATTGTGAAAAACGAAATGGAATCTTTTATTTATTTGTTTCCTTCTGCTTATGGTAGAACGCAGCTTACTCCTTTGGTAAACGGTATCATAAAATTCGACATGAAGCACAACGCCGAAATACCTGGATGCGATCTATGTTTGGAGATCGATCAATTGAACTTTTTAAACGAGAGTTTGGATAATACGAATTTTGAGAGGGTTTGTCGGTATCTGGAGAGTTGCGCGGCCTACAGGTGAATTTTCCGAAACGACAACTAAAATTTAAGCAACTTTATCCCGTTTTTTAATCACTTTCTAACGGTCAGCGAGGATATCGAAAGAAGACAAATATTGCAAACCGTGGTCGACCATTATCTACGATTTCAAGAATATTGCAAAGCAATGTTAGTGGCCCTTCAATTGGGAGACTCGGATCTCGTGCACAAATGTCTCACCACCTGCCCTGACGACTTAATGCGAAAACAATTGTCATTTATACTCGTAAGACAAAGGGTAATTCATCGGATTCTACGTGAGTTATTCTTACACGCGAGACCCTATTTTCCATTCGCATAATTCATCGCTCTTCAGGAGAATCCATTAAAGAAGGATTACGAAGGAGGCGATGCCAAGGATATCGAAGCTATCTTAAGCAACAGTCACGTCAATAATCATTATCATTTGCTGGCGAGGGAACTCGACATTCTGGAACCCAAACACCCGGATGACATTTACAAAACCTGGCTAGAAACTAATACCCTGAGACGAGCGGAATACGACTCAGCCAGGGCCAATCTAGCAGCTACGTTCGTTTCCGGTTTCGTTCACGCTGGCTTCGGTCAGGACAAACTGATGGCGAACACCGCCGATTGCTGGGTTTATAAAAATAAGGTTTTTGCATAAATATCAGAGACTCTTGAACTAGAAACTTTCGAAACAGCTCAAATCGAAGAAAACTGTTTGACAGGAGCACGGAATGCTCTCGGCAACCGCTTCTTTGGGACTGATACACATGTGGGACGTGGACGGTGGTCTGGTACCGATCGACAAGTGAATCGCGTCTCTTATCGTAATGCAACTATGATTTATAGACAAACGCCCGCGGTCTAAGATACGCTTACCTCGCAGGTATCTCTACACCAACGATCACAACATCAAAGCAGGCGCTTTGCTCGCGATAGGTTTGGTTAACTGTGGTGTTCGCAACGAATGCGATCCAGCGTTGGCGCTCCTCAGCGACTACGTGTATTCCGAAAACATTACACTGAGAATCGGCGCAGTTTTAGGACTGGGTTTGGCCTACGCTGGCTCGCAGAGGTCTGATGTTACGGAACTTTTAACCGGAGTATTGGTAGACGAAGCAAGTACGTTTGCGATGATTAACTCCCACCAAGAGATATTTTGGAGATTAACGATTTTTAGGTACCATGGAAATCGTGTCTCTCGGAGCGATCGCGATAGGTTTGATAAACGTTGGCTCTGCCGACGCTGAAGCCTCGTCGACGCTTCTGCAGAGATTGATAGAGCTTACACCTCAAAAGCTGTCTAGTACCTACTCCAGGTTAAAGACAGAAGTATATCTATCAAATACGTTTCACGACTGTGCGAACGAGGGTTCGTTTGACCTTGTTTTTGTAGATTTCTACCGCTGGCGCTGGGTATGATCTACATGGGTTGTCGCGACATCATAGACGCACCTTCAGCTGCGCTCGAAGTCTTACCTGACCCCTACAAGCTTGCTGCGCAGACTATGCTGGAGGCAATGCTTTCTTCTTTGTTAAAATGTTCTATGATCTATCATAATCTTCAGGATTCGAAAATATTTCATTGGTCTCAGGTGTGTGCATATGCCGGTACAGGAGATGTATTGATCGTTCAAGGACTATTACGAATTTGTTCGGAACCGGCGAACGGCGAAGGCGTTCCCGTCACCCCGGTTAACAGTCCTACGAGCTGCTGCTGCGATCAGCGGTCTCGAATCGTCGAATTTTCTGAGAAGAGAACGAAAGAGAAATTAGAAGAGAAGCATGCAGGATCAAAGTAATCGGAAATTTATCTATCGTTAATATCTACCGGCACTTTTCTACAATTTCTTGCGTACTCTTCAGGGATATTGGATCGACGCAGGCCATAGCTACCTTGGGTGTCGCTGCCGTTGGGTTAGGAGAGGGAAAAGAGGACTCGAGGATCTTCGGACAGGTGATAAAAAGTCCTTAAACGCGAATAAAAGCGATCAGTCTGTTTGCACGAACGATCGTTCTTCAGATAGGAAGATACGGTCCCACGGCTGCGAGACGCGCGATGCCACTCGCTCTAGGTCTATCCTTTTTGTCAAATCCAGACTTGTCAGTCTTGGATGTGCTGAACAAATACAGCCACGACAACGATTCTGACGTAGCTAACAATGCGATCTTTGCTCTCGGTCTTGTCGGTGCTGGGACGAATAATGCGCGTCTCGCCACTATGCTGAGGCAACTGGCCTGTTACCACGCGAAGAACCCCACGCACCTATTCCTCGTTCGAATTTCCCAAGGCTTGGTCCATCTTGGCAAAGTAAAAAAGACCGATTAAAAATTGTGTCGATCTTAATCGACGAACGATTGGTTTAGTAAATAAAAAATTGTTTATCAGGGTACGTTGTCGATATCTCCTTTGCGATACGCTTCCAAGGTGTTGGACAAGGTCGCCTTAGCTGGATTACTGGTAGTCCTGGTGGCGTTTCTTGATTGTCAAAATCTGATCCTGTCGAAATCACATTATTTGATGTATTGTCTGGCGCTTGCGATGGAACCTAGATGGTTGGTCACCTTGGATGAAAATTTGCAGGTATGTATTGACCATTTCCCTCGTGGGCAAAGATAATTTAACGCTACGGGAATATTCGAGACCGATCGGATTGTATTTTGATCAGAGTCTACCGGTGTCTGTGAGGGTTGGAAAGGCTGTAGACATCGTGGGCAAAGCTGGCAATCCTAAATCCATCTCTGGTGGATACGTTCACACGACACCAACGTTGCTTTCCTCCGGAGAAAGAGCAGAACTTGCTCTAGACGAGTACGAGGCGTTGTCCAGCGTTTTGGAGGGCTTCGTTATTCTTCGAGAGAAATCGAACGTTTCTTAGATTTTCCGCTGGAATAATAGAAGATAGTGGATAATAAAAGAACACGGCAGATTGCGAAAGGCAACGCTGGGACAAGTGATTTATTTATTTCATGAGATAGTAATAAGAAATACGATCGACAGAAGTGTATTATGTAAGGCGAAGAAATTACTAGGAACCAAAGTGCGAACGACGAATCGTTTATACGATATATCGTAATGTATAATTTTCCATGCTGTTTTTAATAAAAAGTAGGAGTAAAATTTTCGAGAAAAAAGAGTCGTTTGAAGAGAATCTTGTACAATAACGGATCGATACCACACATGTTTGTAACGCATCACTTTGACAACGACGAGACGTGGAAAGTACGCAAGTGATACGAGCAAAGGTTCGATCGCGTCGTTGAATGCATCGATAAGAATGCGAAGAGACGCGTGAATACTAGGCGTAGGTTTGCGTTCATTTAATTCGAGGGACTAGCGGAAGCAATGTGCTCTATACAACAGAAATATACATTGGTTCGCATTGCACGGTAATATATGACACGGTGCACCATGATCTGACAGCGGTCACTAAATTAAAATACATCGTTAACGCGTGACTCTTGTTCGATTAAAAACGAGCCGGTAAAACGCAATAGGACGAAAAGACAGAAAGGAATTAAACAGAAGCGAGACGTATGAGAGGAAACGAGATGAAAAAACGTAAAGGATGATGCACGATCGACGAAAGAAGTAAGTAGTAACGATCGAAATTTGGCTTCTATCGATAAAACATTGCAAATGAAAGAGGAATATTGCAGTTTATTGGTTCTGAAAGTGTGTACAAAAGCGGACAACTAGGAAACGAGAAACGATATCACGCGGATAAGAGAACTCTCTGTTCCTGTCCCTTTTTCGTTTGCTTTGCTAAATATACACACAAATGATATATTCTTTCACGCAGAGTACATGGTTACTTTTCTTCTTAAAGTTTTTGTTTATTTTTCTCTTCGTCTGGTGAGTTCGCAAAGTCGCATTGCACAAGATCATGGAGCACGTTCCCATCTTCTCGTAGCGAAGCCGTGAGAAAAACACTGCAAGAAATTTCACGAACGTACGCAACGCGTACTTTATCGAAAGTGCTCTCTCACGACTTCACGTGTTCAGAAATCTCCGCCGATTTTTATATATATATAGGCACGTATGACTCAGGGCGAGGCGAAATGTGGAATAAAATGTAATTTTCAGCTCGTTCAAAGGACGCACATCCCCGCGTGTATGTTTTTCCCGCCAGATCGAAAACGCATCCCCTCATCGTTATTTACTTTTTTTTTCTTACGTTTTTCATTGCGTTGCAGAGTCGCGACCGGTTCGGATATACGTTACGCTCCACGAAATCGTACAAAAATTTGTATCCCGTTGGATCAAATTTAACAGTTGCATTTCAACGTACGCACACCTTTTCTTTCGCGTATTCAGCTTGCCGCCTGACATACTCGTATAAGGTGGAACAACTGTCTGTGATAAATGTTATTTTTTCCCCCTTTTTTATTTTCCCGTTTTTCCATAATTCTCGCTTATCCAAATACACGTAAATACGTTCGCGATATATATCTCTAATCGCACTGCAGAACTCTTTTTCGTGTATCGTCGATACGAGTCAAGGGAAATCGAGTTAAGGAAAATCTTATACCTATGTATAGTAGTTTGCCAACAGATACGTCGTCTGTACGCATGTGTTGAAATAGTGAAACAACATGCAAAATTAACGATAATATTTAAATACGTTGATAATTACGTCATCCGGCAAGCTGAACTTCCTATCTACTTACATGTATCTTAAATTTTTCATGTTGCTTATAGTAAAATATAATAATAATAATAGTTAAAAATTAATAATAATAATAATAATAATAATAATAATAATAATAATAGTGATAGCTCCTATGATAGCAGGCAGCGCGTTTGTGTTATAACCTTTTGCAAATAGTAAATGTGTTCTGTGATTCAAGCGAATTCTCAAAATGGTGTATATACGTATGTGAACGTATATATACATATATAGGTATATATATATATACTTCCTCGTACTTCCGTTGCTTCTTTCATCCTTTCTGGTTCATTCGTTTATTTACAACAACGCATGTATGTCAGCTACATAGTGTTACCATTTCTCTGGTTTTTATTCGCTTTAAATCTTGCACATCTTCCCGCCGCGCTATTTTATACGTCGACATTCGTGGGGAAAAACTCTAAGTTACAAGACGATGTTCCTGTTAAATGATAAAACCTCAGACGATGTTTGTCACCCTTATATTCAGCTACTTCGCTAAAATTATTACCCATCTACCGTTTTCACTTTTCAAACCGTGATATTCATGGTCATGAAAGTGTACATGTTAGATACAGGATGACAGCTTTCTCTTTCTCAAATCGTTCCCTCTGAAACGATCCTCGATAACAGTAGTCGATGTACGACTTTCCTTCGTTAATAATGTCGGATCAAGCGTTTGAAGGTTTCAACTTGTTTCCATTCTCCGTTTCGTCTTCGACTTTTATACGTACGGCAGGTCTTTTTTGTTAAGCACAGAAACGGATAAACATATTTCTCTCCCTTATTCTTGTGAACAGCGAAGATTGTCCCGAAAGAAGCACCGAAGTCACAGGGTGATGAAGTAGTTTGTCAATGATTAGAGTCAAGCTGCCTGTGGATTCGTTGCTGAGAGAACAAAATTGACATCGAATTGTAGTGCGCTCCTTTGTGTCGATGAGTTTGCGCCATCGTGTGGACGTCGAACACATGTTTATACGCGTGTGTACGCATCTATACGTTTCTTTGTGAGTGTATGAGCGTACGATCGAGATTCTCTCGATCGTTTTTCATCCACGACGACGACGACGATGATTTGATATCGATGTTCGCGATCGAAGACCAGTACGGATCGTTGGTTCCCCGAACATGTGTTCCTCATTTTCTTCTCTCTCGTTATACACCTATCACGCTGAAGGAATGTACACTCTATAACACGATAACACAGTCGTGACACGATGAAGGTAATAAGTAGAACACGTAGCGTGGTTGTTGCCGGTTAAAACAGCCGGGCGCGTCTTTTGATTTCGTTACGACGCCATTGCGGTAGTCTATAGAACTCGGCACGAGTAAATTGAAGAACTGCCTCGAATTCCGCGTCAGAAAGGTGCCGCTGCAAAACACAATTAAACATCGGTAAAATAATCGTCTCTATTCGTGCCGGATGAGAAATTTTCTATTTACTCGATAATCGCTTCGTCAGTCTCGATCATTCGATCCATTCATCCACCAATTTCTCTAGGTCCTATACTTCAGTTTTTTACAAAGTAAAAGAGGAATTTATTGGAGAGAAATTCAAGCGTTATTCTAGCGTTCGAAAAGGAATTCTACGTGTTCTAGACTCAGCGGTTATAGTTAAACGTTTTAATAACTCACTTCGAGATTGCAACGATCCACGTCAGCGGGCAGCCTGTAGTTGGTGATGACAAGCAAGTGGTAAGGGTAGAGTTTCGGCGGTTCGGACGGCGCCGTTCCCATATCTGGCAGTGATCTCCTTACGTGATGGCCCCCGTGACTTCCGACTACCGAACCTAGGCCACCTGTATACGTGGTAGATGATGGCAGCATTCCACCATCATTCTGAAGCACCATTCGATCGTTAATTTCGTCGTAACGCGATTCATTACGACGTGTGATGAGCGTTAATAGCGGTGCAGCCGTTCAAAAGCTTCTCGCATGAAATTTCAATTTTGATTTTCTGCTTGAATCGATACGGTCAAAGAAAAAAAAAAAAAAAGAAAAAAAAGAAGAGAGAGAAACGTACACGTTCTGAAAAATTTGCGAGAATCTTTCATCTCTGCAACGAACCTATTGTTGCACGTTACAAGAATCGATATATTGCAGCAACAAAAAAGTTGGCAAAACACCGCGTTTGTTAATGACCGATTCGACGCAACTTAACACGGGACAGACCACAGAACTATGACCACATAGTTAGACTGAAACGAACGATAGGAACTGGCATTTTACGGATTAATCCTTTGACTCGTTGCTTTACGATAGGAAATCGTTGCGTGCATGTGCATTAAACTAGTCGATACAATTGTTGCACGATTTATTCTTTTACTTTCTTAAATACTTTCGACAGACCAGAAAGGCAAGAAAGCAATCGGGGCACGCGTCACACACGCACAAACTCGTGCACGTTAATTTCAGTTTAGGCGTATAGTTCCGTTTTCCGTCACGTACGCACAAATTATGCCATGGATGCAGAATATGCAGTCAAATCGTGAGAACAGCGCAACTACGCGACAGTCTCGTTAGCGTTATTCGAGATTTCATCTATTTTCGAAACTCGTACACGCGTTCGAGGATCACGATCATCGCACACGAAACTCACATCGTGTTATCATAAGGAAATAATAAAAGGAAATAACGAACTACGTATACGTCATGGATCTATCGGTCTAAAGAATGAGCAAGCCGATTCAACTCTCGGTCTATACTAAGACAATTGCGAACGTTCAGCTAAAATCTCGCGATCGTGTCCGATTCTTTCGCAAGATACGAAATCAAATGCAAACTTCAAATATGCCAAGGCGAGAAAAAAAACTTGTACAAAAAGATGCAAAAAAAAAAAAAGATCGATTAAAAAAAGAATATCGCAGCAAATATACAGCATGTGCATGCGTCGATCAATGTACAATCTAGTATGTACAAACGTTATATTATACATATATAAACAAACCGGCAGTGCTCGTTATGTACAAATACGTTTAATCCGACCGGTCTAGTCGAACGATTTTGCCGACGCTCGATTTCTCAGTTCTACGCAAACCATCCGTGTTTCGAGAACTCACGAAAGTGTTTAATGTTACGATTAATGCGCGGCTGTGGTAATATGCTGTTAAATATAATTCATATGCAAAACAAGCTACAAACCATGCTAATTCGCCGGGAGTAGTATGGGGCTGTGGTACATACCAATGCCCGTCGATCCACATCCGTGATGCTGCCTGTCGATACTAAAATTGGGGGAAAAATGGGAAAGAAAACCATGTCAAACCATATTGCACAAACCATTTCGATATGTTAAGTACAATCTTTTCTTTCTATCGATCGAACGCGATCGATCGTATTCCATATCGATGAAAAAAGAAAACTGGAAAACATAAGAGATAACGTTACGTCAACGGGTTAACGAAACCAGTTGAACTTTCGAGGAATGCGATCGGGAATACGATCGATTCGATCAAATAACTATAAGCGAATGTTCCATGATTATATTATACATATGATTTGAATTCAGTCTCTAAGCTACACGATATACCAGCTGTCGATGATCAAAGAGTTATCGTGTCATTAAGTCGCGTTATTGGCGAATAGGAGGTACTGTCATTTGGGCACACTATAAACTCCTCTGGTTAATGGATCAAACAAATCTTATTATGCAATCTTTAATCTAACACGGAATCGTACCGTTCGAATCGTGATACTCAGGCGTAATGATTAAATCAAGATAGAAAAAAGAAGAGATAGTGTCTATGATAGAGCAATGATGCATTAGTAAAGCATGCTCAGATATTAAAGCCGTATAATCAGGTAGAATAATCGAGAACAAAATAGTCATTCTCACGAGCTCTTTCTACTCGTGAATTAAAAGAAAGAAGAAGTAAAAATGAAAAATTTAAAAAAAGCATGTACAAACTGAAAAGTTTGATTGTACTTTCGAAAAAGAGAACTGCAAGATGTGTGTGTGTGTGTGTGTTTGCGTATATGTTATGTGTGATTGGTTTCCTTTCTGGGTTTACTCACTATCTGATTTGCCAGACGAGAAATCAGTGCTGTGCGTCTTGTCTCCCATCCCACTGAACGAATAATCACCCTAGACGACAGAAAAGCGTAAATCTTAGAAACAACCGAGGCACAGGGATCCGTGATATAATCAACGGATACGATAATTAAAACGTGTATCGTTATCTCTACAGCATATATATATATTTTTATTTTTTTCATTCTTTATTATTTTGTAAATATCAGCAACAACGGTGCAAGAAGATTTTTTGTTTGGTCGTCGATTGTGACGCGGTGCAAGACTTACAGGGAGAGCAGATACAGAACCGCCGGTCGAGGAGAAGGTGTGACTTCGCGGTGCCAGACCGTACCCTGGCTTCGGGATGTGCCGAAGGGAGCTCACAACTGGTTTCAAATCAGTCAATCGACAGTATTACTGATTAGTGTCAACGGGAATAATGGAATCGTTCATTCCCATACGAATGCCCAACGTTCGCCAAAAAATACGTTTCATTAAGGGGGGAGGAAAAATAAAAAGAAAAAAAAAAAAATAAAAAAGAAGAAAAAAGTGAGAAAAACACACATTCTGTGTATAATTAAAATAATTACAGAGGTTGTCTCGGTTTCGCTCGTGTACAAGATTGAATCATCGAGGGATTTCACTCTACTCCGTTATCTTATATACGTTTTATCTCGCTTCGCGAACAAGAGGATCGAAGTTTGTCTTTGACGATCTTCCTTTTAAGGGGAGGCATAGAAAAGAAAATCGTCGAAGGTGGAATAGAAAAGAGAGAGAGAGAGAGAGAGAGAAAAAAAAAGTAAAGAAATCTTACTACTGTGTAAAGATAAGTAGTACCCTCTTCGTTCGAGTTTTAACTTCAAGTTTTGTCGACCTGTTTATATCGCATCTCCACGGCAAGATGGTGGAACGTACCCGATGTTCAAAGTGCACAAGCGTTATTTCTCGTTCAATACTGTGCAAGGTATCGCGTACGTGTGTACAACGAAAAAAGATTAAAAAGAATATGTATATATAAATATATATGTACGTACGTGTGTATACATATATATATACACACATACACACACAAAATATATAATACGTATGTACGAAGAAGCCAGCACCTATGTGTATAAGTACGATCAACGTATGTTTCTCCAAATAAGCTTAAGAGAACAAAAAGCATGCCTGCCGTGAAGACAAGTCAACGAATCATCGCGTCGGTTGAAAGCGTTTTTCTCTCGATCTTTCTTACGCGACGGCTGCTCTTAAGAAGTCTCGTACGTTTTTCTTGTTTTCTTTTTCTCTTTTCACGATTCGCTGAAAAAACGAATCTCAGACCAATGAAACTCGCTTGCAGTACACTGCCACGTTGTCTGACAAGAGAAAGAGAATCTCTGTTCCTTTCTTTACGGTGTACGCTAATTTTGGACTTGACTTGAGATCAACGGTAGGTAAATTGGAAAGTTCTCGGACTCACCGAATGATAGTGCCTAGCGGCGTTTGGAAGAGTGAAGGCGCGTTGAGTACCAAGGGGTGGATAGTTTCTGGGAGCCGGGGAACGTGCCGATGACCTCCCAACTGCCGCCCACGCAAACACAACACAAACACAAAAACACAAATAGAGACACGATGATACAGGTAGCGGTGTTGGCTAACGTAGATAGCGATAAATCCTATCGACTTTTCTTTGAATGTCTCAACATTGGAAGATATTGCCAGTTCTACCAGGCTAAAATATCTCGCAAAAATACGTCAGCCTACTATCGAAAAGTATACGTACTGTAACGATAATATTCCTTTTCCTGTACGCAAAGCGATACAAAGTAATGCAATGCCGAAGAGATACAACTTTCATGCGCCCAAACGAAAATATGTACACGCAAATATACGTACATATATGTATATAGCACGATATTGAAAATGTACAATAGCGTACTGAGCGTATATTACGATTATCTTCCAACATTGTGTAGTAATTAAAAAAAAAAAAAAGAAAAAAAAAGAAAAACATTCCAAAAAGGTATGAGAGAAAGAAAGAGAGAGAGAATGAAGTTTGGAGCGATATGTGTTTGTGTATGAATGAATGAAGTTGCCAAGAGTGGAATCTGTAACAGATATTACCATGCCAGAAGGGGGAAGAGAGGAATAGCAAAAATGTTGACTAGGTTATGGTATACGTAGATATAAACGTCGGTGAATGATCACGTATGAAATAATGGGAATCGATATTACGCTACTTGAAAGAGGATGAACTTTTCACGCACACTATTTCCGTTACTCGAATTGGCGTATGGAGAGATAATCGAGAGAGATAAGAAGAGGCAAGCACATCGAAGGTAATATGCCGACCACATGCAGAAGCGGAATAAATACATCACCTGTCACGTTAATGGACGCCCAGTGTGTGCTGTGGTATTTGGTGCTATGCCACTTAACTTATAAACTCCTGCTCGAGTAGTTTACACGTACTGCGTGTTATCGTTCGTTAATCGAGCATCATCACCCCTTCCCACTGCAAGATTCGCACGTTGCTACGTTGCGATCCACGATAGAGAAAATTTTTTATTTTTTTATTCTATATCTTTCTATCCTTCTTTCTTTTTTAGCGATACGAAAGGAACGATCTTTTTTCGCTGGTCCCCACCCCCCCGCTATCGCCTCGAAATCT